GTGTGGGTGTGGGTGTGGGTGTGGGTGTGGGTGTGGGTGTGGGTGTAAGTGTGGGTGTCTATGCAATACAGATCTACATCCACACCCACACCCACACCCTCAAGATGGGTCTAAAGCCTGTCTGTCACGGTCTGTGATGGGTCCAAACCCTGTCTGTGACGGTTAATTAGCTAATTAAATACTAATTAATTAAGTAATTCAACAAATACTAATTAATTAATTAAATACTAATTAAGTAATTAATTAATTAAATACTAATTAGTTAATTAGTTAATTAAATACTAATTAATTAATTAAATAGTAATTAATTAATTAAGATGTCTGTCACGGTCTGTGATGGGTCACGTGAGTGTATGTCACGGTCTGTGGGGGAGGGGGGGGTCCAAATTTCTACCCTTAAACACTTCAACACTCCTTTCAGATCGTGTTTCACAAAATAGGGAAAAGAAAATTACATCTGCATATGTTAATTTAGATTCATTTTAATTTTTTTAGAAATTCAAGCTCACCTTAACTTAAAGTCATAAAAATCTTTCAAATTTTACAAGTTTATTCAAATTAAGTTCGATTTACCGCAAATTGAATCCAAAGTAATTTGAATTTTAATTAATTCAAATTTTCTGAATTTACATTCATTTTTTACGATTTAAATCTGATTTGATGGATTACAAATTGAGTATAGGTACAATGTAATTGGATGTTCTTTTGATTAATTCTCTCAAATTGATAATCAATGTATGAAGAAGTGTGCAATCCTTACTCTTTATCTACTTTAATTTATCAACATGGGTTACTCTATCGATTGACGATAAGAAAACATCGATTTTTAACACTCTTACCTGCTGTTGTGACTTTCGTGGCAATGGGTTTCAGTGGTGATGGTACAATTGGTGCTAGTGAAAGTTTCTTGGGAGATGTCTAGAAAAAAAATGTATAGCTATGAGCATCGATAAATTTGAAATAGATGTGAATTCTCACTATTGGTACAAGTGCAATCAGGGGAAATCGCGGTTGAATTTCTTTGAGTTGTATGAGATAAAGATCTTTACCTTGATTGAGACATGCTCCGACTTTAAATTGTCTTGCAGCTGGAAGAAGAATTTCATGTTCAGTTTTAAAACTGGAATATTTTTGGATATCTTTGCCACTATCACATTCAATCATAAAAACAGTTCTTGAACCTGCCGTACCCAAAAATTGTTCATTCTGGAGTACATTTATCTGGGATGTACAAGAACGGAATCCCCACCAAATGAACGTTTTTCCTTCCGGATATTCCTTTCTCATGTCCCGATTAATGCCACAATAAACAGGAGACACCGTCGATGGGAGCTGAGCCAATGCCGTCAAAATCAATCTTAGAAAAAGAAACCATGGCTTTATCTTTTGCCGATTTTCGTTACGTAGTGTCTGGTTTAAGACATAATACAGACACTCTTCTTTTGGTTCCCATTCCATCGAATAGAGCGTAATCGAGGCTGCTTGCTCTATCGGTAGTTTTCCTGGTGAAAGTTCTGCACATTTCATTTTTGCAATGTAAGCCATTCGTTTTACATCAGGTACGTGCGATACTACAGGTTCAACAGCCTCTTCAAGTGTAACTAGAGGCATTTTTTCGTAGCCTTCAATGGGCATCAATATTCGGCAAGGTTCTCCGGCAATATCCGAAAAACGTTGCGTGTGTATTTGTTCTTCATCGATATTGACGTAGTTCGAAGCCATTTTTGAATTTACTGATAGAGTTTCGTGAGTGAAAACTAAAAAAAAAGAAATCGTATTGGTTATCGAATCTAAATATGCATACTCTCAAAATAGAAGAATATCTCGCAAAAAGAAATATAAGTATAACATTTATCAACAGGTATAATATTCTGTTAGAAGCACACATCGATTCGTATTCATCTCGACTCATCATTTATGAAATAATTTCAGCAGGAAAAAAACGATAGATTTGGGTGTGGGTGTGAGGTGTGGGTGTGGGGTGTGGGTGTGGGTGTGTGGATGTGGGTGTGGGTGGGGTGTGGGTGTGTGGATGTGGGTGTGGGTGGGTGTGAGTGTGGGGTGTGGGTGTAGGTGTGGGTGGGTGTGAGTGTGGGGTGTGGGTGTAGGTGTGGGTGTGTGGGTGTGGGTGTGGGTGTGGCTAGAGTGTGGGTGTGGATGTCGGGTATAGGTGTGGGTGTGGTTGTGCAGCTGATGAGAATACGCTTATCCACATACCCACACCCATACCCACCCTAGGTTCATCCCGTTATTTATATCCATATATTGGGAAAGCCCTGAAATAATCTTATCTTAGAGTATAATTGACTTGAATCCAGCAGGAGTAATTTTGGGCTCAAATGTTTAAAATGATGGTGATGTAACTACCCAGAAAATATTCTGTTTGAATCTTTTGCATTTTTCCCGATTCAAATAGTCCTTCGCAAAAACTCTGTCAGAGCGAAAATAGTCAGAATATCAGTAGATTTCAACCTTGCTCTATTGAGTGATGTTCCTTAGAGTACGTCAGATTCTTGACTCTGTTTAGCACATAGATCATCTTTTCGATTATGGTCATGACAGGGCGCGAAATTTTGTCTTTGTTCGAGTCTAATATCTGCTCTGCCTAGTAGAAATTGCAATTGAATAGATGGCATATAACTGAAGTCAGACTGATTGTTATGGGCAGTAGTATTATCTGGTGATATGTTAAAATGCGAGATTTCTCGTTCATGGGCGGTGTTTACAAACCCTCTTGGTAGTAGACTACTCCAATAGTCCCATATGTATGTCCTAGCAATACACTGAAACATAGAGTGGACACCTAGACAAGTCTTTTCCAAGAAATATGCGCTTCCGGCTAAGAATTTGGCAAGCATTGTAGCTATTGCGACTAAGATAAGCGCATGTTCTTTTATTTATTTCAGTACTATTATTTTTTACATTTATTTAGGTTATACTGAAGAGCAGTTTAAATGTTAACGATTTCTTCTTCACTGTTTTCTAAGTTTTGGAGCAAAGATACTTCGCTCATAAAATTCCTACGGTACTATTTTGTTCCCCGTAAACAAGTGTGGTAGTCGAAGTTTTTTTGAATATTTACCTGATTGAAGTGGTTGATTTCGATATTGATCACACAAATATATTTCTTTCATTGACAATGAATCACTCATAAACGGAAGTTGATTTGATTTAGACTCCTTCTTTACTCCTTGGATAACATCGTATAAAATCGTACGAATGTCTTCATTCGATGTTGTAATATGTTTTAGAAGATGTTTTGTGAACAAACCGTTTCTCTGTCCTTTATCTTCAATGGCACTCGTTCCAGGCATACAAGCAAATGCAATTAATGAACCCACCTGATGCATTGCGCGAAGGGTTGTTGCTTTTGATTTGCTGGCATATGGATCACGGCTATTTACTTTTAAATCTCTTAAAGAATAGTTTGTACAGCAATCCAATAAGAATATTGCCACATATGGGTTACGATCACTTAAAACATTTAGAATTTCTTGTACATTGATCGCACTCTTCTTTAAAAATGTAGCACACTCAAAAAGAGTGTCTGTTACTATCAAATAATTTTCATCCTAAAAGTATCAAAAATAAAATACTCAGACAATTGGAACAATTTTAAATGGTGATATCTGATTACATACTTCCCATTGTGTAGCAAGTCCAGAAAAATAAAATAGAACCATATCGTCGGACTCTATTGATTCTTCGAAATCGATAAGAGTATGTTTCAACTCAGCACGTTTTGGATTTAGTTTCTTTGTGACAATGAAATCAATGCTTTCCAAAGCAGCCGACATGTCATTCGCGTCATTTATGGAGTTTTCTAATTTCTCATGATATTTATATTGGTCGATGCCAATTACAAGTGCCAGCTTACGTCCCAGTTTAGTTTTAGTTCCCATAAATAACAAGCTGTCTTTAGCCTAAAAGGAATGCACATGATATGATGCAATGCTCCATAATACAAAGTCTCATTGTACCACAGTACTGTTGAGTTCAGACGCTTCGGCATGCGGGTGTGTGTGTGGATGTGAATATCTGGTGTAGGTGTGGGTGTAGATATCCGTGTGCATGTGAGTCTTTTCTTCATGTACACCTACACGCACACGCACACGCACACCCCACACCCACACCCACACCCTTCCGAAAACTCCTTCTAATTCCACAATTATTCGGAATTCCTAGGAATTCCCAAGAATTCCGGGCAATTCCGTCCCGATTCAATTCCCGGAATTCCGCACCGGGATTACTTCTCGCCCTCACCCTTACGAATGGTGGTGTGGTTGAAGATGAATCCCTAGGATAAGTAATTCCGGCATGGAATTCCGCTCTCTAAAAAAAAGGAGTTTTGCAGAACCCCCCGAAAAGGTTCTGTAGATTTCTAAAAGAATCCAAATGTGTCCAAAGTCTCAAAGAAAGAGTAAAAAATTCGACAGAACCTTTTGGAGATTCTGTGGAGTACCCCTAGCAGAACCATCTCTTACGAAACCTTTTCTTAGGTTCTGTACAGCAAAAAAAGGTTTCGTGAGCAAATACGAAACCTTGAGGGTTTAGTACAAAATCATTAACCTTTGGTACGAAACCCTAATGGTTTTGTACTGAATCCTCAAGGTTTCGTATTTTCTCACGAGACCTTTTTTTGCTGTACAGAACCTAAAAAAAGGTTTCGTAAGAGATGGTTCTGCTAGGGGGTACTCCACAGAATCTCCGAAAGGTTCCGTCGAATTTTTTACCCTTTTTTGAGACTTTGGACACATTTGGATGCTTTTAGAAATCTACAGAACTTTTTCGGAGGGTTCTGCAAAACTCCTTTTTTTTAGAGCGCGGGAATTGAGGCGAGACGGAATTACTAGGAATTCTAGAGAACTCCATCTGACTCTGGAGTTCCTGGAACTTCTTCCAATTCCGTATAATTCCGGAATTCCGAGTACCATTCCAATTCCGAAATGGGAAGGAATTTCTGGGGATTGCGAGTAATTCCGTCTGAACTCAGTTCCGGGTATTCCGGGAATTGATGGAACTCGATCGATATGCGATAGGTCTCTTATGCTGAATGATGGTCAAGTTCCCGGAATTAGATGGAACTGATTCCGGTGGCGGAAGTGATTCCGCAATGCTCAACATTGTGGAATAGGATGACTGCTCGTTCCAGTGAGCTTGGAGATCTTTTTTAAGGCTTTGTGATATTAATATTTGAGAAATTACTGTTACATTTTTTATGGGTTTCCAAAATGTCGAAAACCCATGTTCAGAAACCCTAAAAAAGAGTTTCAAATAGTAGCGACATTGGAAATCTGTTAAGGGCTTTTCAGGAGATAGATTTTCTTTAGAAATTACTTTGTATTTCGTCACTATAATGCTTTCTTTGTTCCTTTTCAAGTCAATATGCGCCGAACGATTGTGAAAAGTTAGTCCTTTCATAGAGTTCTATGGAACTTTATAGAATCTCATAACATGAGAAAGAATATAGTAGAATTATTTGTGAAATTTTTTCTGAGTATGATGAGAGTTTTAGAACTGCATGCTTCCAAAATCACAGAAACAGGGTTTCAGGCATCCACAAACACATCATATATAGGACCACGACTTTTGGAGAGCTTGAATGTTGAGAAAAAGAAGATCTAAATTCTCATACTCTCCCCAAGAATGAGAGTTTGCAAATATAAAATAGGTCTCCAAAGCTTTTCACGACTCGATTTTGAACAGCAGACCATTGTTCTCAAGTTATGAATTATCCATGAAAGAAATGAAATCGACCCTGATACCTTTTCCTGGACAAATTGATTTTGTAGCCGCTCAGCTTCATTCTCAAACTTTTGCAGTTGCTCCCAAGGTAGCTGAATGTTGTTTTTCAAAATGATGCGACTGGATTTACATTTGGACACAGCATCCCATAATTGCTTGTGTAGTTGCTTACGATCGTTATTGCTTTCACAGCGTTGGGTAAAATGGATGTGGTCTTTAGTGACTATTTTCAACGTAACAAGTTGACTTATGATTGTATTCTTATCGTTTTCACTAATGTTTTTTGGTACTGAGTTAACAATCAAAATCATTGATTGCTGCGGGATTATATAAGCATCATTTATCAGTTTCATTGTAGAAATATCGTCGTCAGAGATTCGACCACTTTGTTCACCAATAATGAACAAAACAATTGTATC